ACACTCATGCACAATCACACACACGCACGCATACACTCATGCACACTCACACTCACTCACACACACACACACACTCACTCACACATACACTCATGCACAATCACACGCACGCATACACTCATGCACACTCACTCACACTCACTCACACACACTCATGCACAATCACACACATTCACTCACGCACGCATACACATGCACAATCACACTCACGCATGCATACACTCATGCACACTCACTCACACTCACTCACACACACACTCACTCACTCACACATACACTCATGCACAATCACACGCACGCATACACTCATGCACACTCACTCACACTCACTCACACACACTCATGCACAATCACACACATTCACTCACGCACGCATACACATGCACAATCACACTCACGCAAATCACACACACGCACGCATACACTCATGCACCCTCACTCACACACGCATACACTTATGCACAATCACACACATACACATCCACACTCACACACACAAACTCACACATGCACACTCACGCACGCATACACTCATGCACACTCCCTCACATACACATGCACACTCACACACACAAACTCACACATGCACACTCACGCACGCATACACTTCACTCATGCACAATCACACACACTCACGCACGCATACACATGCACACTCACTCACACTCACACACACAAACACTCATGCACAATCACACACACGCACGCACACACACATGCACACTCACTCACACACGCATACACTCATGCACACTCTCACACACACACTCACTCACACATGCACACTCACACACACACAAACTCCCACATGCACACTCACGCACGCATACACTCATGCACACTCACACACACATGCACACTCACTCACGCACGCATACATATGCACACTCACACACGCACTCACGCACGCATACACTCACACACATGCACACTCGCGCACGCATACACATGCACACTCACTCACACTCACACATGCACTCACGCACGCATACACTCATGCACAATCACACACACTCACACACACACACACATGCACACTCACTCACACACGCATACACTCATGCACACTCTCACACACACACTCACTCACACATGCACACTCACACACACACAAACTCCCACATGCACACTCACGCACGCATACACTCATGCACACTCACACACAAATGCACACTCACTCACGCATGCATACACTCTCTCACACACACACACACACACCATGGTTACTATAGTTAAGCCATGGTAATCACAAATGAATCATGGTTTGGCTACACTAACCATAGTATACTTTTGTTTTTCTGTTTTGTTTTTATAACTGTACTGTAATGGTTTGATGTTTTGTACTGTTCAATAAAAAAAACTGTTCAGAAAAACAGATTTGTGATCCGCGCTCCGAAGTTCCGATCTGAATCAAATGATTGACGAACCACTTTGAAGCCTAGTTGCTGACAGTTCAAGAGAAAATCAGCTGAAAGTATCCGGTCTCTCACACCACTGAAGTGACTGTTCAATTTATCAGTATATATTATAATAAATATTTGAGAAATGTATCTATATAGAGTGATAGTCAATATAAAAAGAGCAAAAGTGTGTATATATATATATATATACACATACACACACACTACCGGTCAAAAGTTTGGGATCAGAATGATTTTTAATGTTTTTACAAGTCTCTTCTGCTCATCAAGGCTGCATTTATTTGATCAAAAATACTGGAAAAAATTTGAAATATTATTAGAATGTAAAACAGCTGTTTTCTATTTTAATATCCTTTAAAATATAATTTATTCCTGTGATGCGCAGCTGTATTTTCAGCATCATTACTCCAGTCTTCAGTGTCACATGATCTTCAGAAATTGATTCTCACTTGGACAAGTTTGATCTGGTTCTGCTCGGCTCTGCTTCCCTCTTCTGGCTCTCTGCAGCACAAACATCATCATCATCATTAATTCACACCAAGTTCATGAATATACTGTCAGATCACCGTCTGTCTGATGCGATCATTACGCAGGTCGTTTTCAACAAAAAAAATTTTTTTCTAAAAAACGTGTAATTTTTAGCAAGGGAACAAAACTTTGCAAATGATTTAAGACCCTCAAAATACACATCATGTATTTTTTTCATTACAATTATTTCTTAAGAGATATAACCATTTAAAAATAAGAAAAAGTTACGTTTCACGATTTTTGACCTGGGTATGTATGAAATCCCATTAGCTGTTAAAAATACTTTAAAAAAAAATGAAATTATGTATGAACTTATATTAGTGTTAATACACTTTTGTACAATATTTGTCACCTTTTCCCCATATCTCACAGAATTTGTGTGATAAACATGATTAATTACATCTATTGATGAACCATTGCAGCATGAAAAATGTATCACTTCTTCATCTGAAAGTGGAAGTTTATGAAAGCAAAATAAATGTATTTTGTTTGAAAAGCTTTCAGAGTAATGTTTAGAAATAAATATGTAGGTTTCATAAATTTGGGCTTTTTTTTCTGAACAACCGTGAGTAATAAATTCAAAGGAATTTAATTAAATTCTATTTTTTCCAAAGGGGTTAATCCTGGTAATTCTAATGTTCTTATAAATCTCATACGATTATACATTCAAACTAAATTTCTCATCAGTATTGAAATTTTGCATTATAGTGCATCGTGTGCAATTTGATATTTCAAGGAATTTCTAAATTTTTCAATTAATAAAAAAAGAGGTAAATGCATGCAGCAATTAACATAGCATAACATTCAAATCTGAATTTTTCACATTAATTAATCATTAACTCACATTCTCTCATTAATGAGAAGTTGCTGATCAATATGGTTTTAGCTGAAAAATATGAAGTTATGACAAATCTTTGAATGTTAAAATATTACGCAGATTTTGAATGCATTATTTCATGTGAACGGACGTGAGTGTGTCGATGGTGTTTGCAGCTCACATCTGATGGAGCAGGAACAGAAGCGGCACAATTAAAGGTTGATTGCATTATTATCCCTCATCTGGGTCACGGCACCAATTAATGCGCGTGACGGCTGAGAGATTGTCATCGTTCAGCAGAGAAAGTTTCCCGCAGCTGTTTTCCGCCGGCATTAACCGCTGTCATCCAGAAACAACAGCAGCCCAGCGGTGTCAATTATATTTGATTGACTGAGTAAAGCAGCACACAAATAAGCCCAAACAATGGACACAAAAATCTATAGACGACTCTCCTCCTGTCAAATCAAGCGCTCGTCTGCTCCATTTTCATGCCGCACAACAGCCTTAAACTCTCTCTCTCTTTCTCTCTCTCTCAGATTTGAGCAAATATTCCACGATTCGCTTCGCTCCTCTTCATGCATCAAAGTAAATTGCGCACTAATGCATGACGGATGTGTGTGTAAATAATCGAACAGTGTTTCTGTTTAATGCAAAAATGACAAGACGTCTTGTTTTCTGATAAACTGATCAAAATGAAGCAAGTTTATGATTAAAACAAGAACAAATATCAGTAAATGAGCTAAAAATCTACTTAATTCAAAAGTTTTCATCCCCCACTGGCAGATATTTGTTCTTGTTTTAATCATAAACTCACTTCATTTTGTTCAGGTTCTCAAAACAAGACTGATAAGATATTTTCTTGATTCATTAACTGAACGATTCTGTCCTCGTTTGATAGCATTAGATCAGCTGAAAATGTCTTTATTTTAATCTCCAAATGTCGTTACAATGATTCCAATAATATAACGTTTCTTGCATTCAAACATTATAAATCCATACTTTAACTCAAAACAATACAGATGACATATAAACGTATTCGAGTTATGAAATAAAGGTGCAGCACCGAATCAATTCATAAAGAGCATGATTCATTCGTTCGTTCGCTGTACGGTCGTCGTTCTCTGCTTGGTTTTGATTATTAGGCCTGTAGAAAATCACAGTATTGCAAAACGAATATTTCAAAACTCGCATGTAAGAAAGTGTGTTATTAAGCAAATAGTGTGGGAAAGATTCATGTAATCAAGCACCTGGTTTCTAAATAGTCTGGATTCGCACTAGTTTCTTACATGCTGGTTTAAACGGCGCTCGTCTTGCTTTTGCTCTTCTTTCCGGACGTCCCGGCGTGTTTCGGAGCGTTGTTGTTGTTGCTGTTCTGGTTTCCGCTCAGGGTTTCCATTATGGAGCGGAGCGTCCCGAACGCTCGCTTGCTCGACTCCGGCTTGTCTTTTCCGGGCTGGACTTTGAAAGGTCCGTCTTTACGCGGCGGCTCGTCAAACGTGACTCTCAGTTTGAGGTTCTGCGAGGTCTTTCTGCGAGAGGACGGCGACTTCAGGGCGCTTTTGGGACTCGTGGTGACCTTCTGGCCTTCGGGGAGCTCTCCCGTCACCTCGGTTTTGGCTTCGGGGTCGCTGTGGTCCGACGACGGAGACGGGTTGTAAACATCCACGGATTTGGAAGTCCTGTGTGTGAAGGAGAACTTGGCGGCGTGCTCTGTGATGGGCAGCTGCGTGGGCCTCTCGGGTCGGGGCGGTTTGGACTCTTCCGCGTCTGATTCGCTGAGCGAGCGCTGCATGATCTGCTTGAGACGCGCCAGCTTGAGATCCCGCCTCTCGCCCGGCTCCAGCCTTCTCATTGGTTCGGCTCCAGGCTCCGCCTCCACATCCGTCGGCTCTTTGCCCAGCAGCTTGCACAGGACTGTGTCCGAGTCCATGTGTCTCTGGATGTTATCAGGAGCCGCTTCAGCCGTCAGCGTCATCTCAGGCCCCGATTCGACACGAGAGCTGCACGAGACGGAGAGAGACGTCTGTGAGACAAACACATCCGCAGAGGAAACGGTCCTGATGCTGGGCTTTAGATTTTTCCCAAATTCTGTTTTTCTGGACTTTTAGTGGTTTCATAAAATTTTAATAACTGGAAAAGATGTCTAATCAACTGAAATAGTAAAACCTTTCAAATGTAATAATTTATTCAAATTTTAAAAATAATAGTACTTTATGAAATGCGTTCTATTTTTCCCAAATTCCAAATTTTTTACTGTAATTTTTCTGGACTTTTAGTGGTTTCATTAAATTTTAGTAACTGAAATGATGTCTAATTAATTGAATTCATAAAGGTTTAATGATTTAATAATTTATTACAGTTTTAACAATAACAGCGCTGTATAAAATGTCTTTTATTTCCCCCAACATGTGTATGTGAATGTCTAACCAATTGAATTCATGAAAATAACAATTTAACAATTCATTAAAATGTTAACAATAATAGTGCTTTATGAAATGTTTTATTTTCCCAATTTTGTGTTTTTTGTTTTAATTGTTTTTTTTTTTATTATTCCATTTTAATGGCTAATTTTAATAATGAAAAAGGACATGTTTTATTTTTATAATGTTTGTTTTTTTCTGGATTCTGTGTTTTGTGATTTAATATAAACTTATCAAAAACGGCAGTAAACAAACAAAAAAAAGCATATATAACTGTAACAATTTAATTAATCTTCTAAAATGCAATCAAATTAAATTGATTTGAGATTACATTTTTTATTTATTGGCAAATTGTTTAAATTAAAAGATGATTAAAAAAATGGTGTGATATTCCTTACCAAAATAATAATATCATCATTATTGTTATTATTACTTACATTTTACAAACATTATATATTTCTGTCAATTTCTTCAAGTTAAACCAGACTTTTATTTTGGTGGGTTGTTGTGAAGACCTTTGAGTTTCAGTGTGTTTTAATAAGTTGCATTATTATTATTAATATCAACATTTTTGTTGTTACCAAGTACATTCTACTGTGCAATAGTAATATATATCGGTCACAATTTCTTCACGTTAAACCAGACTTTTATTTTGGTGGGTTGTTGTGAAGATCTTTGAGTTTCTGTGTTTATCTGACCATAATTTTCTGAAATGAAATGATGTAATGCTGCTGAAGTGACTCTCAGAGACAAGCACAGATTTAAATATCAATCTATTTGCAGTTGAATATTCACACACTAGCGCATATTGCCATCTGGTTAAATGTACAGCCCTACTTTTGATTAATTCATCCAAATTTTGCCCCTCCTGCTGTGTGTCAGGCATTACCCAGGGACCTGAGGAAGCGTCTGATGATCAGACCTGGGTGACGGCGGTCTGTCTTTGAGCTCGTGGGTCTGCGGCAGCAGCTGAAGCTGGTTCTGTAGAGCGACTCGCGCCGTGGTTTGTCTGTGAAAGTCAGAAACACAGGCTCACGTCAGTCAGCGCTCGCACGAGTCAAACACGTCAGCTGAATGAAGGCTCTTACTCCTGCAGCTGTTTGGTGAGTTTGACCACCTGCGACGCCAGAGACATGCAGGTCTCCACCACCACCAGATACCTGGAGCAGGTGCTGTGACCCTGCCGCTCGGCATTCTGGGACGGACGCTCGCCCTGCTGGTTCTGCACCGTCACGTTCGAGCCGTACTCCACCAGAGTCTGAACGACAGAGACGTGACGTCACACATTCACACTGGAGTTTGAGCATCAGATACGGCAACAGTCATAATAAATTCAACATTTAATAAATAACAATGACTCCTAATGGTCACACGGCTTCACGTGATATGAATTCACAGCTCAGATTTCAACAAATGTAATCTTCGGAAAGAAGTGAAATGTGAATTGTCTTCGCATGAGCTTGTGTTTCAAATGTGCAAGCGTGACAGACCGTTGATGTACAATATGATCATCAGAACAACACCGTGTGTACTGAAGCGAAGCTGAAAAACACACCCATGAGCTCATTAACATAAGACCTCACATTTACATATCAGCACCTACTTAAATATTCAGCAGGATCACGATGAGCTGAGTCAATCATATCAGAGCTCATTTACATACAATCAGTCTGTTTAAACCTTCTGTGAACACTGGGTCTCATTCATTAATAATTATGTGAATTATTCATATCTATACACAGCAGAACTTCTCACACAAATATTTCTGCATGATTCACAACGTGTGTTTGTTCATAACTTCTAATGTTAATGTTTTTGGAGTATTCAAAATGAGTAACTGCATACCTGTTAGTAACTTTATTTATATTTAATAGAATGCTGTGATGCAAAGCTGAATTTTATATGAATTCTGCATATGAATTATAATATGCTGATTTATTATCAATGTTGGAAACAGTTGTGCTGCCTAATATTTTTTGGAAACTGTGATACATTTCGAGGATCCTGCGATTAATAGAAAGTTCAAAAGAACAGTATTTATTTGAAATAGAAATCTTTTATAACTTTATACACTACCGTTCAAAAAATATTTCTTTTTTTTTTAAAGAAATTAATACTTTTATTCATCAAGGATACATTTAACTGATCAAAAGTGCCAGTAAAGACATTTATAATGTTACAGCAGATTTCTATTTCAAATAAATGCTGTTCTTCTGAACTTTCTGTTCATCTGTGAATCCTGAAAAATAAAATGCATCACAGTTTCCACAGAAATATTGTGCAGCACGACTGTGTTCAGCATTGATAATAATCAGAAATGTTTCTCGAGCAGCAGATCAGCATATTATACTGATTTCTGAAGATCATGTGACACTGAAGACTGGAGGAATGATGCTGAAAATACAGCTGCGCATCACAGACATACAGTACAGTTTAACAGAGATTCACATAGAAAAACTGAAATCACATGAAAACCAAAACATTTTTAGCACGAAAGCTTTTTGATTTGAAAGCGTTTAGATTTGGTTGATGTGTGTGTCGTGCGGCCAGTGAATGAGAGCCAGTGTTTTTCTTTCTGTCTGTAAGCGAACAGAACAATCCTGCGTCTCTCAGCACAGTAGAGCAACAGGAAACAGGAAGGAGAGCTGCTTCCTGTCTCTCACTCACTGCATCCCAGACAAAACAGACGAAGCAGAACTGAAATCACATGAAAACCAAAACATTTTTAGCACGAAAGCTTTTTGATTTGAAAGCGTTTAGATTTGGTTGATGTGTGTGTCGTGTTGCCAGTGAATGAGAGCCAGTGTTTTTCTTTCTGTCTGTAAGCGAACAGAACAATCCTGCGTCTCTCAGCACAGCAGAGCAACAGGAAACAGGAAGGAGAGCTGCTTTCCTGTCTCTCACTCACTGCATCCCAGACAAAACAGACGAAGCAGCACCTGAACGCAGCTGAGATGTCCGAACTGAGCCGCCACATGCACCGCCGTGTTCCCGTTCTGATCGGCCTCGTCCAGAGAAATGGCCTGCTCCTGCATGAACTGCAGCAGCCACAGCAGGACGCGCTCCTGTAACACACGTGTGCGGCGGTCAGTCACATGATCGGGGGGTCGTCTGCGTGTGTGCGTGT